CTGGTGTTTTTAAAAGCTGTAACTGGCTTTGTTTACATAGTCAGCTTTGCTCCTCTCCCAGTAACACTGATTTTATTACTAATGGAAAGAAAACCAGTGTGGTTTTATATCCAGAATACTTGAAAGTTTTTTGAAGCTGAAAGGTAATTTTGCAGAGTGATGTTCATCTACCTTTCTGGCCCAGATTGCAGATTAGCTTGCTATTCCAATCGACTTACTCTCTCTGAATTTTGAGATGTAGGGGCAATTTCGGCAACTTCTGGTCTTGTCTGTGCATTCAACACTTTTACTCTAGGAAGACTGGCCTTGCCAGACTGGATTATACCTTTACAGACTTTCTGCTCCTCAGGACCTTGTAGCCTTTTCTTGACAAAATGCAAGCAACAGGGTAATGCAACGGTAATGCACTATGTGAATCTTCAGGAGGTCTCCAAACCCCCTAAGCTAGGGTTCAGGATATAACCTCCCTGGTGTGGACCCACTGCCTCATGTTCCAGGGCATGCTGTTCTGCTCCATGCTTCACCACTGAGGCTCATTAATTTACTTCACTTATGGTGTAATATTCATCTTCTCATACCCCTTGTCCTAGATACAGACATGGTTAGGGAGTCTACTGATGCCTTCTGCATGGGGTCCTGAAGGAGGTGGTGCTGTTGTGCAGCTGGAGGGCTATCCCATTGGAAGGCACAACTTCCAGCTGCATGTGGGCTCCAGGGACCTTGCCCTGCTGTGTATTCCCATATGCCAAGGCACAATCCTGTCCTGGACCCGGCTTGTGTGTTCTTGTGCTCAGGCATGTACATTCTGTTTGACTTGAGTATCCATTCTCTCCATGTGGCCTTACGTTGAACCTTGTGTGATGAGATTCAGTCAGTGGGAGTGCCATCAGTGATTCCATGGGATCAGGGACAAGATCTGAATATACTCATTGCTGCTTAGGGACAAATGGGTAGCAAAAACTGGATTTTTCCACACTGTTTTCTTGCCAGAAGCTGCCTGCATCCTCTCACATGCCATTCTGTTGTGGTAAGTCAAGCTACCTCCACATATCTACCTTAGCTCTTCTGTGTTCTGGGAGATGTTATATTTGGATTATGTTAAGCATAATGCGAGTATATTCAGTGAGAGGTGTATACAGTGGAATAATTGTTAATGCTAGGAGTGTTGTGCATGCTATTAGGGTACAGGTTGGGATGAATTAATTAGAACTGCTGTTATTCTAGTGTTACTAGTTAATCTTACACTCTAGCCTTATGCTATAAAAAGCTTTCAGTGATGACTGTTTTACATATGTAACTGGAATGTGTTGTTATGCAAATAAAAGTTAATTTAAATTGAGTTTGCTTAGGGTTTTTACTTTATATAGGATGAATTTTCTAGGTAGAATGAAACTGGTATCTTGAAGATCACACAAGACTTCTGTATGTGTGTGTTATACAGAAGAGTATATGTGAACCTGTGAACTTTTGAGTCCCTGAGAGAAGACGTTTTTAATTGTCATGAAGCTTGCTCTCACTATAGAGCACTCAAAAATCACTTTGAAAATATTATTGATGTGTTTTTTATAAGGCAGTCATCATCTTCCAGAAGTGATAGTGTACTTTGGAAGTTAGGATAAAAAGTACTTTAAAAGTTATCTCCCACAAAACCACTCTTGCTCTCTGATGCTTCCATATGGCTGTGAGAATTGCTTGTGCTCCTTTTTTTCCAAACCGTGAGGGAACTTGTAATTAAAATATAGAAGGATGCACAAATTGCACAAAACCAAATTGCATCTTTACTTTCAGAATGCAATGAATTTCCTAGCTATGGGGATATTTTTATCTGTAGAAAAGTAAGACATACTTGGAAATGCAGAAGGCTGCTCTGGTATTCTCTCGAGACATCTGCCCTCAATTAGCTGTTTGAATCAGTGATGTTATGTGTTTGTGTCTTGTTGCCTCAGAACCTCTCATTGATAGCTTCTTTTGAGAAAGAAGCAGCAGCAGAAGAAAATGTGCTCATTTACTGCTTCATTCTGATGTTGAATCATTGCACAAATTAAATTACTTATTTCATTTTTTGTGTAGTTTGTGGTTCTCTGATTGAGTAGTTGGGAAATAAGTTTGAAGACTTTTAAAGAAAAGCATAAAGGATAAAAAATACACCGTTTAAAAAGGTTGAACTAGGGTACCCCCATTTATAACTATCATGTGGGCTAAAAAGACACCCTGTAAACAGAATTTGGTTATGCAGTTATTTGTATTAATGGAATTTATCCATGAAAAATTAGTTCAAATGTATTTTTAGTGGTTGGTAAGTTAAAAGAAGCAATTATATTTCATGTCTTCTAATGTGAGGCAAACACCTTGCCTGATAGCTTGCGTTTTATGCTTCAACAGTTGTTGCCAATAGCTTACCTGTCCAAGCTAAATAGCTTTTGGATATCACCAATATACTTCAAATACAGTTGTTTTTTTTTTTAATAAATGAGTACTTTTTGGGGACAGAACCTTGGGTGACATGTTTTAGTGGGAGGTGTCCCTGCCCAAGGCAGGGGGGCTGGACCTAGATGATCTTAAGGTCCTTTCCAACCCTAACTGTTCTATGATTCTATGATTTCTGGAACTCACATGAATGTAAAGCAGCGCCTAAGCACTGGCAGTGTCTAAGCTGAAAAGGTTGTTGGAATAAGATAGAAAAAGTGTTTTTGTACTTATTTCTAGGTCAATTAAAGTGAGATAATGTTTTTTAAAGCAATTCTTATAATTTTCCAGTGGTTCTGGAAAATTCTACAGGTTTGGAGTCAAAGGATAAATTGATACTGATATTCTTTGAGTGGTGGATTTATTAGAGAAGAATTTCCAAGGACTTTAAATGGGTTGAGTGGTTTTTTTTTTTTTTTTAATAGCTGAAATGCACCATCTTCTTTACAGAAGAGAAAGAGGGCCATTGTGATACCTAAAACTTCATAAACAACTTGAGTATTGCTGCTCTTGTAGGAAAGATAAGTCTCTTTAGATTTAAATGACTTTCTTGTGGGTCTGTCTGACTAATCCTGGTAATGCTACATGTGCGTCCCGTGAAGACAGTCTTAGCAGCTAACTCCAGACAGGACATGATTCATCAAAATCCCTTAGGAATTTTATGGGCACAGTGGAGATATTTCTGCCCCTTAAAAAGTACACTGTCACATGAGTAACATAAAACTTAATAGGTCTCTTTTTTTTGTATCATTTAAAATGTATCATTGACTTTAAGTGGAAGCTGAGCTAGAAAATGGGAAACGTTGATCATGTGCAACATGATAGAGGATTGAATTGTTCGTATTTTTATACCTTTTGGCATTCCATATTTCTCTGAAATTTGCTTGTTTTAGGGTTAGAAAACAATAATTTTTATACAAAATTATTATACTTGGTATTTCTGTGTGGGCTTGGCTTTGTCAGGGAAATGGGTTGTAACTACTGTGTAATTACAGGGTTGGGGTTGCTCTTGGAAATCTGAATACAGATTACTGTTCATGACTTAAAAGCTGGTGGGCTTTTTGGCCTTCTTTAAAGGGATGTTGTTTGTGACAGCAATTTTTTCTTACTTGATTAAGCACAATCCATTTTGATAAATAGTTTTGAAGCTCATGTGTCTTTATTAAGAAGGGACTGTGTCAACTTCTTGCAGGCCAATTTTGGATTTGTTTGAGTAACATGACTGGTGTATAAATGCTGCCTCCAGAAACTAATTTGTTAAGGGATGCTCTATTTGTTCTTGTGCTGTTACTAAACAATTTGAAAGGGGTAAGACTAGTTCACATCAAAGCTCTGAAGTGTCTAATAGCCTGTATGTTGCAGAATATAATACAATTCCTTTAGTAAATGAGTGCTTTTGGGGATTCTAACACTTCTTTTCTATTTCAATTAGAAAAATGCTAACTGTTCTTAAGGTGAATGTAGAAAACCAAGGAACCATTTGACATGCTTGGGGAAAAGGAGGAAGAAAGGCAGAACTAAGGGGTAGGTGGCCTTTGCCTATTCTCCAATTAGCTTCAGGTGGAGAGGTACCAGATAAATGAGAAGGCAGCTGGAGTTCCAGTCACAGTTGCATTTTATGTATCATTTCACAGTAAACAAGCTTTGGGTCTTATGACAATGGTTTTAACAAAGTCCTTTAAAAAAGGAATCAAATTTTGCACTTTAATGTTTTGAATGGGGAGATCTTCCCTGGCTGGGTTACTATATGAAACAGACCAAGACATTTAAGATTCCAAAATACTATAGAATATTTTAAATTAATTTTACTTATACATTTTTTGGATGGCATGAAACAGAATAAATCTAGTAAAATCTGATTCTCTCCTTTCTGTGTTCCTGTAACAGTGGAACTGCTAGATCTGCAATAATTTGCATTGGTTAAACTATGGAAGAAAATCCCATTGATTATATAAAGGTACCACCTTTGGCTTGCAGCATCCTTAAGAAGCAAATCAGCAAAGCCTTGGAGATTGTGTAAATGAAGTTTTGCCCAAAATAACACTTGTCTTATTCATGTATTCTTTCCTTGACTCCTGCTGCTGGCTACTTTTGGAGCTGAAAGGCTTGATTGACTTTGGGTCTGCTCTGGTAGAGACATGGGTCGTTCTAAATGTTTCTCAGGCTACTAAACAGCTCCTGTTGGGTGAAGGGTAGCCCTGCTGTCTGGCTCTGAGTTCAGGGTAAGAGTGCAGGCACCTGAGTAAGTTTTCAGGTGTGGGGCAGGTGGTGACGATGCACTGCAGCTTGTGCGAATAACCCATGAAGAGCATTAAGCAGCTCTGTTTCACCTGGCCTTTTGGGTGTGGGGTTGAGGAGAGCTGCTGTGTTTGGGTTGTGCTGAAGCATAGCAGCTCCTTCTTGTATCCTGATCCTTGCTTTCTCTGCTGTGGAGTAAAAGAGACAGAAAATGGAAGGAGAGGGGATACATGAGGATGAGTAAAAGTTTTAATTTTGTAATTTTTCATTTGTTTATTTTTGGTTTATATGCACGGCATCCAAGATGCCAGCTAGATACAGACAAGGGCTGGCAGGTCTGCCCTTGGACTTTGGAATATTTTCCCTCATTGGAGGTACCATCTGGCTGGTCTGATCTGATATCTACTTCACCAGTCTTTGGTAAGTTGGATGGAGCTATGGGAGCCATTTAATCCTGTGTTTCTAATGCTGTGTTGTGTTGTACTGTTAGTAGTGTGTAAGAAGCTGGGATATTGAAAGGTAGGGTGTGAGAGAAGAGGATAACATTAGATTTGTCATGTCTTAGACTGGTATGACTGCTGATCTGCTGATTTGAAGAAGAAATTGCTGCCATTTTTAAGGTGAATACAGCCTTTAGCTCAGGAAATTTCTATGGCAGATATTGGTGGGTACTGGGATGTACATTGCAGTGTAAAGATCTCTTTATATCTATGTTGTTGCTATGTCTTTTCACAAGGAGTCTGGTGTGGGCCAGTCAGAAACATGATACTGTGTTGCACATCGACCTTTGGATGTAGCCACCATTAAATGATGATTTACTAATCCTGCTCTATAAAAATAAACCCCTGATGATCTGTCTGCTTACTTCTGGAATTCATCATGTCTTTTCAAACACCCTGTAAAAGAAGGATAGATGATTTTCCTCCATATTGGTGGGCAAAGCAATGTGTTCTGATGTGAAATAGTTATTTTATTCCACCAATTCCTGATGTAAATCCTGCTTTACTTACTAGACATAACCTTAATGCTATCTCTTGACTATGTTGGCATACCTATTTTGGGCTGCTCTATTCTCTCTCCCTTTTATACCTCTTCCATCAGTGTCTTATGGTGCAGAAAGTTGAATATAATATTTATTTTTTTAATCTTTATTTGAAATCAGAATTGATTGAAACCTACTGAGTCTCACTACAAAAATGCCTGCAAGTAAAGTAGCCAGTAGTTCTCCTTACTCTCAGTGTTGGGGCTTTTCACAAATATTTTTTATTTTAAAAGATCATTTCTGTAGAAGATTCCTAATTTTCTGTGCTGGAAAAAGGTGAGCAACGCTCCAGTGGTTAACCTTTGGCACTGTTTTTTTTTTAGGAACATTATCTAAAGGTGAGCATTCTGATATCCCTACTTGTATTGGAACTTACGTTCATAGGAATAAGAATTAAAACTTCCTGACAGAGTGAAATTAAATTTTATGCATTTCAAATGCTTTAAAAAAATCTTTTAAATAGGTCACATTACGAAACAGGTTGGATATTTAATGGAGGGATGAAGTTATAGTGATTGGAGTAAATCTTTATCCTTCTAACATGCATTGGTCATTTTTGTATTCTCATGTGCTGTCAGCGTACCATGTGAAAAATATTTAACTTTGCTGATTTCAGTGGATAGCTGTAATAATTTGTGTTAGGAACTGCAGTTGTGCACTTTTTTGCAGAAACAAAGTATAATGGTTTCTAGCAAGGGTGCAGCTGATAAATAACATGGGTTTTATGGTCAGTGAGTGGAAATGGTCTGCATTTGATTTTTATGAAGGAAAGGGAACAATAAATTACTTTTGTTCTTTCATAGGAATCACGTACATGCTTGCTACAGTAAGCTGGTCTCTGCATGAGAATATAGAGCTGTTGTCTAAAATATTAGCAGTTATTGTTATATTTATAAACAAGGGAATATAACATAAAAACAGTCCTATTTTTTATTTTTTTCATGTGTATGTGACCTTAAAAAAAAACCCCAACAAACCACATTTTCTGTATTTGCTTTATTTCAATGCTACACAATCTTTTTATCATCTTGACCTGACAGCCTGGATTTAACAGGACAAAACAATGTCAGGAATATTAATGCTGGTTGCTAGCTCTTTGAGGGCTGAATTTTTTTGAAAACTGGGCAAAAAATGACATTCAGTCAATATCTAAAATGTTCAACACGCATCACTTTTATTTTCAAATTAATAATGTCGCTGTGAAATACAAAATACTCTCAATAAAGACAGTGTAGAGATACAGATGAAATCTTATCAAATCAGTCTTGACTGATCTAGTCTGGAGAAAAGGAGGCTCAGGGGAGACCTCAATGCTTTCTATAACTGCCTGAAAGGAGTTTATAGTGAGGTAAGTGTTGGTCTCTTTTCCCAAGTAACAAGTGATAGAATTGAGAGGAAAAGGCCTCAAGTTGCACCAGGAAATACTTAGATTGGATAATAGGAAAAAATTTCTTCCCTGAAAGGGTTGTCAAGCATTTGACCAGGCTTCCCAGGGCTGTGGTGGAGTCACCATTGCAAGAGGAGTTTAAAACACATGTAGATGTGGCACTTCAGGGACATGATTTAGCGGTGGACTTGGCAGTGCTGGGTTAACAGTTTGACTCAGTGATCTGGAGGGTCTTTTCCAATCTGAATCATTTTATGACCTTATGAAAAACAAATTCTTGTTAAACTAGTGATAGGGGGTTTCTGATGACTATGTGTTTGGTGAAGAAATATAATATTGAGCAATTTTTTTTTTTTTTTGGTTATCTAAATTAAAAAAAAAAACAATTGCATTCCAGCTCAAAAATAGCTGGTATGGCAGATAATGTTTCCTCCCTTCAGCTAACAGATGACTGCAGTATTGCGTCTTACTACAGCTGAGTGTTTTCATAATGCTTGGAAGACCTTTCATGCTACTGTCTTTATTTGAGTTTGACAGTGTTTGTTACTTTTCCTTAACAAGGACATGGAGGTCATAAGCTCTGTGGTACTCACTTTGAAGCTAAAATTTTAACTTTATAGTTTCTTGAGAAAGAATCATCTTTTGATGATTCTTTACCAAAATGTTATGTGTTATTATTACTATTGAGAGGCCAATGGTGTTTATTGATGAAAAGCAGAAGTAATGTGTGTGTACTTGTGTCCAGCTTTTTTCATGCCCTGGTATGTGCACTTGGGGGCAGAGCAGGATGATGGGAGTGTCTTACAGTGCAAACCAATGTTGCTCTGGGTATTGCAGTCACAGAAATACTACAGATGGTCTTGATCTAGACGTTCTTCTTTAAAATTACATCAGCATTTTAATAATAAGATTTTTCCAGGTAAATAATTTCTTAGCAAGCTAGTCTTATCTGAACAGTTACTATTGCAGAACTAGATATTGTCTACAATGTTTTATTTGGAACGAAGTCAACTGTTCGCTTCTGGTAAATGAAAACAGCTAAGACTCTCCAAAATATTTAAGTAACTTCCTTTGCAGTTATTGTGATAGCAAATCATGGAGTTGGGCAAATGTAGGCCTTTTCTATTAGGAAATCACAAAGCTGCTTAATAAGAGGGTCTTTAATAATAATATGTTTAATAGTTATATAAAGGCTTATTCTAAACTTGCAGATTTTGGCTTCATAGAAAGGATTAAATATGAAGAAGCTGCACAACTTCTGGGTAGACTCGAGACTCAGAGGGATATAGAACAAGTTCAAAATACACAGTATCCTCATTTCCTGTGGCTAAATTTATGCTGAGGTCATATTTGGAGATAAGTAAACTTTTGATGTTCTGATAATGAAATTGTTTTGAAAAATCCTGTGTGTTATAAATCTGTGTCTGTACAGTTATTTTATGCAGGGTGTTTTTAAAAAATAGCTTTTTGACCTGATAGAAATGGAAATATTTTTTTAGGAGCGAGAAAAGACCATCAGTGAGGAATATATGTTTGAGATTATTCCTCTATAAAATCTAACAGGTAAGAATTGTAGATACCTTTTGAAAAATACACTACATCCTCATATTGCATCCCAAGGAAAACCCTGACAGTCTCATGCTTAACCAATTTCCATAATAAGCCCTGCGTTGGCTATTCCCTCCCATGTAAGGAGAAAAGAAAATGTATATCTGCTGCTAGTAAAGTTAGCAGGTTCTGCCTTCTGCTGAGATAGGAACTGTAGAGGCAAGGGTATTTTATGAAAACACCTGATCATTAATGCTTTTCCTTTAAAGAGGGGTGATTTTAGCTAGAGTGTTAGGTGGATGTTTGCTGGTAAACAAATGGTAACCTCTATAGAGCTTTAAACAGTAAATGCCATCTGAAAAACAATATATAGCTAGAGGCCAGTCTATAAAGAATTTCTGTTGTGTTGCCAGCATATAGCAAAATTAAGCAGCTGTTTTCTGCCTTGGCTTCAGCTTTTAACTGGCCTCATATGGTCTGGCTGGATTAGGTTACAGTAATCTGTTCCTCATGTGACAGTCTTGGGTAAATGTAGTGATGAACGTAACTGGAACTGTGTTGTCTTACAGATTTCTTTGTAGGAAATGAAGAGACAAAAAATAGTTCTTGCAACTTATGGCTATCCACTTGAATATGGGTGTCTCAAGAATTAATGAAACCCTTGTTTGTGATTCTGTATGAAAAGAAATGGAGTTTAGTTCTTCCCCAGAAGAGCCACATGCACGTTTTAGGGATTTTTCCTTAATGTTTACTTATGAGTTGTTTTAAAAGACCAGCTGTGTGGACTCCAGGGAGAGGAAGGTTTCCTTCTGTCCTGTTATGAAGCCGCTATACCAGCTCAGTAACAGGGACAATACTCTCTGCATTGTTTTCACCTGACCACTGCTTCTATTAGGTTTGCCTTGGTAGAACCCATAGCACTGTGTCTTAATTGCTCTACATCAGAGCAACCTCTGTACTCTTACTGCATTTTGGTGTACTAGCAAACAATAGCACTGAAATGATCCCCCACTGTTCTGATTGATTTTCACAATTTTCTGGTTGTATTTCGGTTGTGCCTCAGCAGCCTTAGCCAGCTGCGTCTGGTCCAGCTTCTGGCTGTATTCATGCATGGGGTCAGTAGCGCCACTAAAAGATGTAGGTCTGGTTTACGTGCGTCAAGCCTGAAGAAATGATTGCAACCCTCTGTTTTTCCACAGGGCAGTCTGACAGAACAAAGGATCATATGATATCAGCATAGTAAAGCCGTACCTGACGATAATCCCTTTAGAGCATACTGGTTATGTCTTTTTTACTGAACTGAAGAGTGGCATAAAATCTTTGCACTGTCTTGTTAGGAGGAAGGGCTGCAATGTTTCTGTAGCTAGCTCATGGGAATTGCCAAAAAGCAAATACGTTCTTCATTATGCCTCGGAGCTGTTTATATGTGAACAATTCTTTTATGGTTGTCACTAATTAATGCTTCTTTTAAAGTGTTGGTGCATTATATGGGTGCAGGTCAATTCAATTTGTCCTTCTGAGCAAGTGACTGCAAATACCCCAGTACTGATATTCTGTCTTACGTCCATCAGATCCCCATAAGATGAGACCAGTTTAATGTGTATTAAGAATGTGTATTTGGTGCATTTAATAGTGACATATTACAGTTTTGTTTTTTGTTTCTTAAACTACAGAGGTGAACTCCTCCCTGCCTCAGATTTTCTGGCGGAAAAAATGCTCCAATAAATTATGTTTTAGGAAGTAGGGTGTGAAGAATGGTGGATGCTTAAAATGGGGTCAGAAGTCACAGAAAATTGCACAGAGCAGGGAGGACCAAAAGGCTTAATGTGCCAGTTCATACTTTCTGTGGGATTTGGCTAAGTATTTCAAGTTTTGAGTTCT